ATGTCGATAAACTCGAAATATCTTGTATGATTTGTTGTATACACTTTCGATAATGACTCTAAATCAATTCTTAAGTTATCCTTAGTGATATTCAGTACTACCAATTTACTATTTTATTTGGCTTTTTTTAAATAATGTCATATTGATGTATTTGAACTTACCTTTAGACATTGGTCTTGCACGTATGATTGAATCATTACTTGGTTCATTATCATCGACGTTAAATGTTGAATTAAATGGACAACAATGGCCTGTAATGCCACCTCTTTTTACTTGGATTTATCAACATGTAAGAAAAAAAAGAATTTGTGAATATTTTTTCCTATTTGAATATTTTTCTTTTTTTTCAGAGTGGTTTTAGTCAGGATGAAATGCTTGAATATTTTAATTGTGGTGTTGATTATTTACTTCTTGTTGATCATACAAAAATAAATATTGATGATATTCTTCGCCAATTAACTGAAACACATATATCAAGTTATTTTCTTGGAACGTTTATATCAACAAGTAAACATTATTTTTTTTTTTTCATAAATTTATTTAAACAATAAAAAATATGCAAATTTTTAAGATACAAGTCCAATACGTAAACCAATTCGTTTACCACAACAACCTATTGTAACACCACCACGACCACGAACTATTCAATTAAAAAATATCTCTTTTAAATATCCGAAACCATATCAAACAGCTAATGCTCTTACAAATAATACATTACCAATTGTTATTAAAGATCGTATGAAACAACCAATTGCTAATGATAAAACACGTTGTGCTGTACTTATTTCAACTAATGGTAAGAAAACACATACTAATTGTTTTTTTTTTCATCTATGAATTTATTGTTGTTTTGTGTTTAGATACTTCATTACTTTCACTTCTTGTTTATAGTACATCAACACTTGAATGTGCATTTGAAATTGTTCTTGTTCTTTCAACATTAGCTAGTCTATCAGATATAGCTCGTGTTAATGAATTATATCCATCAGTTGTTACAAAAGTTATTCAACCAAAGAAATATGCTGCACGACATTATGATCTAGTAAATAATTTGATTTCTTTTGTTCAAAAAGAAAACAAAATACAACTTTTCTTTTTTTGTGAAACACGACATAATAGAAGTATTGAGACTCGAACAGACGTTATTGACATATGATCTTTGATCGTATGTCAATAACGTCTGTTACAATATATGAATTAGTTCCTTATTGCATTTCTAGAGAATTTAGTAAAAAGATGGTGAACAAATGTGTCATAGAATAAAACAATCTTTCTGTGATTAGCAATAGTAGTTACATCGTGCTTCATATTTTAATTCAGAAAGAATTGTGCTAACAACTTTTGTTTTTAAGGATCAAAAAGTTGATGATGAATTACAATTACATGGTTGTGAGTTAGTTATACTTGATCGTTATGCATGCCGTTTATCACCTTCATTTATAATGACATGGCGTGGTCGTTTATTAAATATGTATCCGTCATTATTACCATCATTTCGTCATAGTAGTTCACCAATTCGCGATGCATTACAAGCTGGTGTTCGTATAACTGGTGTTACAGTTCATTTTATTGGTGAATCCGATACTGATAATGATGGGCCAATTATTGCACAAGAAAGTATATCGGTATCACCAATTGAAACGGAAATTCAATTAGAAACTCGTTTACGTATACTTGAACAACAATTGTATCCAAAAGCAATCGATATGGTTGCATCAGGAAAGATTGTTTATCAAGGAAAACGACGAATGGGTAAAACAAATTCAATTACAACATTAATACCTTCGTCTTATTAAATAAACTTTTGTTTTTGTCTGTACATTGAATTATATATCATTATATGTATTTGTGCTATTTGTTTCCTGAAATAGCCAGATTCTTTTCTTTTTTTTCTTTTGTAGTCCTGTCGTCTTCTTTAAGAAAAAATATATAAGTATATGTATATGTATATGTATACAATCATGAACAAAGAAAATAGTTCAAAATGATTATTCTAAACTGAACAATTTGAAACTCCTCAAAAGAGAGAGCGAGAGGGATGTCTATTTTCCAAAGATTTTTGAAAAATCTAAGATTTTCAGAAAAATCGTATTTTTTGAATATTGTCTTGAAACTATTTCAATGTAAACATCTCACATACAATCGTCTGTACGATCAGATTCACAGTTTGAAGATTTCATATATTCAAAGATATGAACTTTTCAAAAACAGATGCTTTTCGAAGCGTCATCAATAATACGAGAATATTTTGAATAGTTCATAGCTTGGAGATATGACATGTTCAAACAAGCTGCTGTTTGGGAGATCTTTAAATGGAGATAGTTTCAAAACTAAATTAAAAAATACGGTTTTTCTAAAAACCTAGTGCGCTGCAAATGCTTCTGGATAATAGTCATATTGAAAATTCTATAGTTCCATGAAATCTCCATGGGAACTCAAATCCTTTTTGGGTTTTCACTAGAACACTATATAGTATCTACAGGCAAAAATGTAAAGGAAATTGGAAGAGGAGTTTGGTATCTATGAATTTCATGTAATGGATGGGAATGTTTCGATTATGCAGCTGTTTATGATGAAAAAGTTAAACATCAAATGGGCTAGACTACTTTGGCCAACAGTTAATGACTATATAAAAAGCAATGTTATATTTTTTTCTTGATACGTAATCTATGTGAAATTATATGGTAATCTTCTTTTTATTCTGACAATTGATCAAACAAGTTCATTCGAAGTATTTAGATTTCTAAGGAATATACCAGAACTAAGGTTTAGATATTTCTTTTTCGTATTTGACTTTTTCGAACTCTCTCAGTTACTGTCAAGGAATAATAATATTATTTCACAAGGTAACGATATAAGTTTTTACGAAAGCAAGAATACTTGTATCTCGAAAAGCTTTTCACGGTAATAAAATAATCTAAAATATGAAAAATGAAATGTTGTGATTAACAGAATCAGTCCAAATCATGATAACAGAAAATAATTCATCACGTCATCTAATTGAAAAAAAAAAGATTTATTTTTCTTATGAAAGTAATACATATCTAATACTATATCTCCTATGATTATAATAGAAATACTTTTAAGTACTTGGCATAATTCAGGATTTCTCGTATGAACGATTGCTCTTACAGTATAGTTTGAATTTAGATAGCAGCTAGTCTTTTATTAGTTTTGGCAGGAAGCATCCAAAAGAAAGATGCCTAGTTCATGATTAAAATTCTATGGAAACATTTCGTTTACTTGTTCAATAAATAATTCTAAGTGGTCTGTTAACATAATTTCTTTTAGGATATTTATTTTCAAGATGTACTATCAATGAGATCTATATATTCTATTTGCAATTTTTTGATGACCTGTACTATTAGTGTTTATGTTGCTTCTTCCAGATCGTTATCTTTGTTAGCACAGTAAAATAATTACATGCTAACAAACAACGAGAAAAACAAAAATCTGACAGCGTGGATGTGTTAGCAGATGACAGAAAGAGTGACAAGCAAATCCACAACAACACTCAATATGCTTTCNGGGTGTGGGTGTGTGGGTGGGGGTGGGTGGGTGTGGGTGTCGGGGGGATAAAACATTGCCAGCACCCACACACTCACCCACTTCCACCCACATCCACACCCACACCCACACACCCACACCCACACCCACACACCCACACCCACACACCCACACCCACAATTGATCTATCAAATATAACAATACCAACAATATTTCAAAATGAAAAAGATCTATTAGATTTTGTTGATACAAAACAAATTGATCTTGTTATATCATTAAATAAAACATTATTTTGAAGCACGTTTATGTGAACGTGGTTTACATTATTTAGGATGTTCTGTTGATACAATAGCATTAAGTGATAATTCATTGAATGCGAAACAATTTATGACAAAACATAAATTCCAACATTAGATTGGATAAATTGTTTAAATGAAGAAGATGCTGAAAAATTTTTAAATAAGTAAGATTAAAGAAAAAAAAAGTTTGATCAATTATTTATGTTTTTATAAAAATATAGATATCCGAATCAAGAACATTGGATTGTTCGTGCAACACATGGTAATGGTGTAATTAATTGTAAAACTCGAGAAGAAACAAAACAAACTATTAAAGCTGTTTTTGAAGTAAGAAAAAAAAAAGAAACATGCAATTTTTCTTATCACATATGAAAGTGGTATAATTGTTGCGGTTATCTAAGAGAGAATCATATTAACTTAAGATATTTCGACTGTTCGTCTATTGTAGGGATGAGCATTTAGGAGAATAGTTGATGGTAGAATATTTCAGAATTGGTCGTCCTTCCTATTTTAAAGCTGATTAGAATTCTTAACATTCGTTAAAACTGTAGCAGAAAGGTAATGATGAAATCTTCCGTTAGATGTTATAGTTTTTTTTACATATGACATTCGTCAAATAACTAAATTTATTTGAAAGCACATTTCATGGCGTTTAGCCTTTTAGAAAAAAAAAACATATCAGATGAATTTCTTATGAAGACATTTGAGCAGTAGAGAATCCGTAATGATAAGTTATTATAGAAATATAGATATCTTTTACATTTATTCAAAGAATAAACATTCGAGATTTTTCTATTTTAATATATTAGGATCATATATTTGGTAAATTAAATCAAACAATTATTGTCGAGCATGGTTATTCGATTGAAGATAATCAAGTATGTCTTCTATATATAGTAAGTGATGGTGATGGTGATAATACACAATTACCAATAATACAATCGGATCCATTACGTATGGGTGCATATGGTTCATGTCCATATTTAACATAAAAACAATTGTCTTATATACGTCGTTGTATTGTTGAACGTACACTTCGATGTTCGCCGACAATACGCCATTTATTTGGTTTTCGTTTACTTATACAAGGACCAAATTATAATCAAATTTTTTTACTCGATTACCTATCAACATTTGAAGAATCCGAAGGTGAAATACTTTTATCATTGTGTGAACCCGATATATTTCTTCAATATGCACTTGATTTACCATCAATCAGTACCTATATTGCCAGTATCAAGTAAAAAACGTCGTGTTCATTGTGTTAATACAACAATAACATCAACGAAAAAATCTTTAAATATACCAAATAAAATTTTATTAACAGCAATTAAAAATAATAAAATATTTCATAATCAAACAGATGTTAATGTTAATAATAATGGTACAAGTGAAACAAATACAATAATAACAAATGGTAAAAGAATTTTTAATGTACTTGGTTATGGTTCAACATTACAAAAAGCACAAATGCAATCAGTACTTGCATGTGAATATATTAAACAACAAGTTAATATTGATGATCTATTATTTAAATCTGATATTGGTGTTGATGCTATTGAATGGTAAGAAAAATTATTTATTTCATCTTTATTACTAAGATTTGACTAAGGATGTGCTTGACGATAGAAAATTTCTGCGCTAGGTAGACTTTCATAACTTAAGATAGTTACAAGATAAATGTTCTGTTTCTTTTTTTTTGTGACAAAAGTGAGGATGATAATAAAAACTAAACTAAGAAGTGAACTGGTATATTTTATTAGATAAATTTTGTTTGAAAGAGTAATGTATTTAAATACGCTGACACATTATATAGAAGAAGGACGTCCTTATTTGAATGGCTCTTTCACTAGAATCCTAATAGATGTCATAATTTCTCCTATTCTGAAGCTACAGGAGACAGAATCGTCGTATGTATGTATTATCGAGTAGAAATAAAATGTAAGGTGCTGTGCTCTGACATTTTGTAATAGTTTTGTTGATTTTTATTTATACAAACGATAAAATGTATTTTAAGGTATAAAACTCATGCTGATCGTCATCATTCATTGACCGGTGGTTTAACAAATGGTAAAAAGAAGAAAATAAAAAAGAAATCTATTATTACAATGGGAAATAAAAATCATAATTTAGCAATCCGTCGTCGAAATACGAAAAATTCCGAACAAGAAAAAGATAACGAGAACGAGCAGGTCGAAACAACAGATGAAGATGATGATGATGATGATGATGAAAATGAACCAATGGATTTTGAACGTGCGTTTGGTTCAATATCCGATGTACCAAAATTAGAACATATGGATATTCATCAAAATAATGGCAATTTTGATGATCTTAATATGCGTGAAGATGAATTCTATTTTGATCTTACTGCGAAAGTGGATTTAAACAATTATCAACAACCTGTTCTTGTATCATCGACAATTAATTTAAATCCATTAGCTGCTGTTTGTGCGAAATTGATTATTTAGAAACCAAAATCTATTCCCATAATCGAATGAAGAATTAAAGAAAAAAAAGGATGCATAACGATACACATCATTACCCACACCCCTCAAGTCCGTCTGCTTGATTGTTTATAAGATGTTATTTAAAAAAATAACTTCTGACAAAAATGAATTTCGAAGTCACTATACACTAAGTAGTGGCGTATCTAAAGAGGAAGGCATGAATAGGCGGCGCCTCCTCATCTAAGGTCTCTGTCCAACCACTGATGAGAAAAAGGGTGTTAAATAAATGCATAAAGATTTTCGTTGTCCTAGCATAGTAGAGTCATTTTGTAAAGAAGCGGGGCACTGCCCATCCACCTGCGATTTTCTGGTTACGCCGCTAACGCTAAGACTGATTGATAGATGATTTAATTAGCTAAGTCATGTTTCATCCATTAATGTTATATGTAATGCATTAATAACTTTTATTTTCTAGTTATTTAATTTGAATGATGGCGATATGAATGATAGTCAAACTGTATTTGAATATCTTGGTCATGAATTAACTGTTCTTTGTGCTAATGATCTTATATGTGCTTGTACACTTTACGTTCAATGTTGTTCATTACCAATATCATCATGACGTTCAATTCAACGTTTTTATCAAGGTATTGAACAAGCATGTCAACAACTTGATTGTACACTACTTAAAACAACAACAGCAGCAATACAATCATCATTATTTAGTTCCTTATGTACAGGTTTATGTGATCGAGAATTAGTTATACTTAATAATGCAAATCATCCTGTAATAAATGAAGGTGATTTATTAATTGCACTTCGATGTAGTTCGGGTACCGTTAATACACAAGGCTATGTACAATTAAAAGATTTATTTCAAAAGAAAAATATTTATTTAAATGATATTGTACCTTTTCGAACTGTTGATGGTGACGATGAATCTTTTTTTTTTCGTTATTACTTCAAAAATCATCTATATTAGCTCCATCATTATCAAAAACTATTGCTGAACTTATTAAAAACCGTACAATTAAAGCTGTTAGATATCTTAAAGGTATGTAATATGAATTATCTGGAAAATAGAAATACTGTAGACTTGCTCTTACTTGAAAAAGATATAATAGGTTTTGAGCTTGAGCAATAAAAATGTAATTTAGTATATATCTGGATTAAAGAAGATAGAATCATACAATGAAATGAGCAGTAATGTTTATTATTAACCGAATATGTTAAACGAATGATAATTTTTTTCACGTGAATAATTCATACATAATCATGTTGAGTGTCTTTTTTTGTTACAATCTTTAACATCATATTTGATATATTTGAACGTTTTCTTTAGACATTGGTCTTGCACATATGATTGAATCCTTACTTGATTCATTATCATCAACGTTAAATGTTGAATTAAATGGACAACAATGGCCTGTAATGCCACCTCTTTTTACTTGGATTTATCAACACGTAAGACAAAGAGAAGACATTGCATATTTTATTCTCTTTTGAAAATTTCACTTTTCTTTTTCAGAGTGATTTTAGTCAAGATGAAATGTTCGAATATTTCAATTGTGATGTTGATTATTTACTTCTTATTGATCATACAAAAACAAGTATTGATGACATTCTTCATCAATTAACTGATACACATACATCAAGTTATTATCTTGGAACATTTATATCAATAAGTAAGCATTATTATTTTTCTTTTTTTCGGATATTAAATATTTAAACAAAAAAAAACAATATTGAAATTTTTAAGATACAAGTCCAGTACGTAAACCAATTCGTTTACCACAACAACCTATTGTAATACCACCATGACCCCGCACTATTCAATTAAAAAATATTTCTTTCAAATATCCAAAACCATATCAAATAGCTACTGCTCTTACAAATAATACATTGCCAATTGTTATCAAAGATCGTATGAAACAACCAATTGCTAATGATAAAACACGTTGTGCTGTACTTATTTCTACTAATGGTAAAAAAAATTCCTCATCATTTTTTGTTTTTCTTTCAACTATAGATTAATTGTGTTTCTTTTAGATACTTCATTACTTTCACTTCTTGCTTACAGTACATCAACACTTGAATGTGCATTTGAAATTGTTCTTGTTCTTTCAACATTAGCCAGTCTATCAGATAAAGCTCGTGTTAATGAATTATATCCATCAGTGGTTACAAAAGTTATTCAACCAAAAAAATATGCAGCACGACATTATGATCTAGTAAATAATTTCATTTATATTATTCATTTAATGAAGAAAATTTTCTTTGCTATTTCATAATATCTTGTTAGAATTATTTGAACTAATACCTTGTTGTATTTCTCGGGTTCTATAAGAAAAAATTGTTAGGCGATGTATCATAAACGAAGTGAGTTTTTCTGTAATTAGTAGTAAGAATTATATTGTGTTCTATACTGTAATGTTGCAATGATGGTACTAACAACTTTTCTTTATTTTAAGGATCAAAAAGTGGATGACGAATTACAATTGTATGGTTGTGAGTTAGTTATATTTGATCGTTATGCATGTCGTTTGTCGCCTTCATTTATAATGGCGTGACGTGGTCGTTTATTAAATATATATCCATCATTATTACCAGCATTTCGTCATAGTACTTCACCGATTCGTGATGCATTACAAGCTGGTGTTCGTATAACTGGTGTTACGGTTCATTTTATTGGTGAATTCGATACTGATAACGATGGGCCAATTATTGGACAAGAGAGTATTTCGGTATCACCGATTGAAACTGAAATTCAATTAGAAAATTGTTTACGTATACTTGAATAGCAACTGTATCCAAAAGCAATTGATATGGTAGCATCAGGAAAAATTGTTTATCAAGGAAAACGGCGAATGGGCAAATCGAATTCAATTACGTCAATAATACCTTCGTCATATTAAATAAACTTTTGTTTTTGTCTGTACATTTAATTATATATCATTATATGTATCTGTGCTATTTGTTTCCTGAAATAGCCGGATTCTTTTTCTTTGGTTTTTCTTTTTGTAGTACTGTCGTCTTCTTTAAGAAAAAAAAACTAAACGAATATATATATATACGTATATGTATATAATAACCATGAACAAAGAAATGAATAGAAAGCATTATGATATACTGATCAAATTGAAATTCATCAGACAAGCCTGAAACAAATGATATTTTTTCTTGCCTATGAATAATACAAAAGGTATCAAGAAAAGCTTTATCAAAGTTGTCACTAGAACATTATGTAGCCTTTCACAGGCAAATATTTCATAAAAGCCAGAAGAAGGTAGGGCATCATGGAAGTCTCTCTAACAAAAGCCATGTATTGCTAAAAAGTCTATGTTGACAACAGTGTTAGCTCTATTCATTTAGTGTCTATGAATTTCATACAATGTATTTTAACGCTTTAATAGTGCATCACCAACAGTAAATGACCGTAAAACAGTGATTGATATAGTCCATTGATAGAAACATCATTCCTATTCATGCAGAAATGGATTAGTTAGTATTCTTTAAGGTATTATCCAATAAAAAAGAAAGCACTGTTTATTTAGAAAAAATTTTCAAAAAAACAAAAATGGAAACAAATAAGAATATCTACAACAATTTTATTCATTTCAGTTTACACTATAAACACCTGTTATGCATTTCTATTTGTACATTATACGTTTCTGTTAGGAAAAGGCAATGCTTGACTTAATTCTACTAGAAAATTTTTCATTGGCATTATATATTTTTGTTTTTTTCTGGGTTACAGAGTTTCTCTTTAGTTTTGTATGGCATGAGATTTCTTTTGAAATTAGACTAATTTCTCGATTTCCGAAGGGACTACCATTCAGCCATAACTTCTGACTAGATCTATTTATTCCCTTGATAAAGGTTTCACCGCCTTCACTTTAGGTTCTTTGCTGCTTTTTCTAGATTGTTACCTGAGATACTACTAGACAAAGTACAACATCTCAAGTGTAAACGATAACGCAAAGTCAGTTTCTCACCCTTCAAGAATAAAGTCTTATTTAAATTAACCAGATCTATATATATTTTGATACATGTATATTAATTGTTAGCTATGATTTAGCTACTTGTAGCCATTGATATTGGATTTTGAATTAGGTAACTCACGCGAAATTTCACATTCAGCGCAAGTCTAATGATATTTGATGTCAAACTCTAACGAACACTTCCCTGATGGGCTAACTTCAATTAATGAATCACAGTTTTTGGCCGTTAAATCATTTGAATACCTAAAGCACGGCAAAAGATACAGCCATGGCATCGTATCCAGTGGTGGATCAAGTTGTTTGAATACTTGTTCTTTTCGACTTCTTGCTTTCATTGTACGTTTCAAAATTATTTCTGAGCTGCTACCATTGCTGATTTAATTATATTGAATAGAATGTGACCAGACTTGCTAAAACTGGCTGAGAAACACGTAATCCGATCAAGTGACCGGAAACATGTACTGAATCATCTTCCAATAACGAGAATCATAACCATAATCGATTTCGGTTTCTGTTATCGCATGTTCTTCGAAAAACTCGATAAATTTAATAATGCAACGGTGTCTTGTTACTTCAAACTCGCATGTTATTCCCAGAACTTCCACGCTACCTCAGTGATCTTTCAGTTCAGCGATGATTCGTAAGGTGCAATACAAAAACAATATTCTCAGGTTTGACCGCTCGCCCAATTACACATGAATAACAGTACAATAAAAACTATTGATCGAATTACACTGTTTTATAGCTATTAATGGAACTGATAACGGTAACAGATCCATTGAAACTAACTACTAAGCAAATAACGATCATGCTCGCTTACTTTGTGTTATTATTTAACAAATACAAACATTGAAGACTCATACATTAGAATAGAAATACCCATTACGTCTCATCTCTCATCGTCCAAAATGAAAATTTCTCTATGTATTTGCAACTTGGGGTGTGAGCCTTCTTTTCTTCCATGTTCCACATCTTACCATGTCTCAGACAAGACTCAGGTCTACACTGACAAACTACATATCTACCTACACTTATATCTCCATCTTCACCTACAACCACCACAATGAATATTCATATCGACGTCTACATCCATGCACATCCGGACTTACGAACCATATCTTCATTGAGATCCACAAGGACACACACATCCACATTTCGGGTTCTCTTTCATACAAAACTATCATGTAATTCTTATGATCCACAGTCTTGTGAAATTAAAGTCATATAAAACGATTTTTCGACTTAGCATTGACAATTTTCTATTCTTGAAAACCGCCAGATATTCTTTTCGCAGCTATTTGTTTTCATGACTGAATTAAATCAAAATTTCTATGAGAATGATTATGTTGTTGAAATATGAACTACCAAAGAGAATATAATTCTGCTAATGAAACTCATGAATAATATTGCTGGAGTCTGAAAACTAATCAGCAATAAGTACATTATGTTTAAATTAGCCGATGAACCGTTTCACGCTGATTATAAAGATCAAAGAAGGTAAAGTGCATGAATAATTCCACATTTGACAATTGTTCTCTTTTGAAAAAAATATCAAATATTCTATTTCCTCTACTTTATGTTTGTTAGTTTATTGTAGCTACAAATTAAGAGAAATATATTAGAAAATGTTTTGAAATGTTATTCGATATTCATAAATTTGGTACCAACTCTATTCATCATTTGTAACGAGGTAATCAGAGAGGCTTTTCACAATATAAGCAGCATCGTTTGATGTACAATTCGAGTCATAAACACCGATAATTATAGTGCGAACCGTAGAAGCGATAATCACACCATCTGTACCTTTCTTTCCATATATGGAACGGGGGTCAGCCTATATAACAACAATTAATGAATGTAAGAGAAAAGAAAAATATAATATATCCCTGCTTTCTTACTCGAATATTTGTTATTAACCCAAGAAATAGCTACCTTGGTAGCTCTGTAGTTAATTCCAGCAACGGGTATACCAGTATGAAAGACTACTTCTGGACTTTGAAAAAAAAAAAGGTAATTCGTAGACATTCAGTAAGTCTGAAAGATGAAAACATATATGTATAATTCAAAATCAGTAGTATAGGTATTTACTATAAGTAAAAATCGGGTGATCTCGCCAAAATGTTGCCGTCGTAGTCAATGATGGCTGCATATTTGAGACCCTTGCCTACAGGTTCATCATTGATATATGATTCCAAACTTCTTTCTAAGGAAAATAAGAACTCAAGTATTTTTGTCTAACATCGCTAAAACTGTAGCTTCTTTCTCAAGGTTAATCAAAACATAAATAAGAATAATGAACATATATTGCTTGAATATAAATATAATCAGAAAATGAGAAGTCAAAGCAAACTTACTTTCATGATGTGTCAAAAGACTTCGAAGTTGTTGAAGAAGCTCTTCTTCGACGGTGTCATCCATCTCATTTCGTTTAGAATTAAAGGTATCGTAAAAACTTTCATATCGACTCCGAGCAACAACATTGAATATAAGAGTCACAATTAAAATAAAGATAAGAGTCGTCTGCATCTATAACGTGTGTTCGATAAGTTATAGAAGATAGTTGGTAGTGTTGTTAATGAAGAGAAGTTAAATATTGTGTCTATCACACAGTCGCATACCATGTATATTTAAAGACAGTGAGCAATCAATCGGAACATATTTCTCTTTTCTACTTTTTTCTTATCAATTTTTTTGTGTCCTTTTTTTTAATTAAACACATCGTTGCTTGGAACTCGGCAATTTGCTGTATATATATATCATCAAGAATGTTTTCGATTTTCTTGTCAATTTTCTTTCTATTATCCGGAACACATATATTCAAGCATGAATCATTTTCATCAGACGTAGGAATCATTATACAGCAAAGACAAGCCAAAAATGAACTCTGTTATAGTATTATGAATATCAATGAAATTTGGCAGGTAAGTGGTTACAAATAGAATATAAAAGTTCTTCAAAATTCAGCTTTTATAATCGTTTACTTATAGATTTATTGACGTTATATCAGAGGTTGCATTGAGTAAAAAACGAATCTGCAGATCGGTAATCATTCGGGTATAGTTCGCCATTTTTCATGAATAATGTCTTTCGTCATAAAATTTTCAGGGGTTATATGTCCATGTTGAAAACTTTCTCGAACGTGTTTTGTGTCATAAAAGTAAGATGAACTACAATTATGGGTTCATGCTTTGGGTGTTGGGTGTGCACATGGGTGTTAGTGTCGATGAAGGTCTCAAAGAATAAAAAACTGATACCCACACTCACACACGTATACTGGAAGAAGACTTGGCTTAAAAAATCGTAGAACGGCTTGAAATTTCGAAAAAACTTGAAATTCCATAAGATTTTGTTTACAAAAGGTGCAGTGCAGGCCCACTTCTTTCGTTTCGATAAAAATGGTTCTGAATCAGAATTTTACCACTACGTTTGGCAACCTACTGGTAGGTCTATCAAATACTCATTAAACACATATTTCCATATGGCTCTAGTTCCCTCATTCATGTATCTATTTCTAAATGTTGAGTTCTTTAACTAGCTTTTATAAGAGTTTGTATCTATAATCTTGCACGCGCTTAGTACTCCCAGAAATTTACCGATCAGTTTTTTCTTTTACGAGTACACTAAAACTATTCCCAAAAAAGTATCCTCCCTTCTTGTATCCCTTCACTAGACCCACATCATTAATTTGCCAAATGAAATGATCTCTTACACTATCCTTGCCTAATCTATGCCCTTATAACTATGAATCTTAATCTATCGCCGTAAAGGTAAGTTCTCGTTGGGACCCATCTGAATTGATT